TTAAATCATTTTATTTTGCCATTAATAATTTATTTAAGCGTGGTAAATAGGTTTAAAACGTTTAAACTTCCTATTTGCTCTACTTTTAATTTTAAAGATGGATATTAATAGATTATAAAGTTAAAATGAAAGTGTCAATTTGTAAAGTTGTTTTGTAAAAATTGAAATTTCTCCCTTAAAAATGTACTAACAACCATTTAAATCATATATACAGGGTATGCTTCTATGTGTTAGAGTATGGGTATCTTTTTTATTTGAAGAGTTAATAGGTTAGTCAAATTAGATAAAAGTTGCGTAATTAGTTTTTCACATAGGGTGATTCCCTATAATGTCGTCCCCCTTTAACTTTTTTATTTTGTCCCAAAAAGTGTGGTTATGTAGGTACTAAAAAATACTTTTTTTTCTATGTATAAAAAAATGGAAAATTGATCAATATACAGGAAAAAACAAAAAGTTTTTTTTTTAATGGATCACAATATATATGAATTTATTTTTTGATTCCTTGTAAAATTCTGAGCATAATTCATATAACAAACCATATACCTAAATTTAACTGTTTCTGAAATATTCGCAAAATGTTATCATTAAATGTTTTTTTTAAACTGTTAGAAATCAAGAAGCCTCAGTATACCAAAATTTTTATTGTAAATAAATTACTATAGTGACATTATGTCAATATATCTTGTTAAATAAGTAAAAATGACGTATTTAGACAGAGAAAGACAAACTATTTCAACTTATTATCTTAAAAATAATTTAAATATTTCAGAATTGGTTGAATTTAGGTATATGGTATGTTATATGAAATATGCTTAGAATTTTACAAGGAATTGAAAAATAAATACATATATAGGGGGATCCTTTGAAAAAAAATAAACTTTTTTGGTTTTCCCTGTATACTGATCAATTTTTCAATTTTCTTTATACGTAGAAAAAAAGTATTTTTTAGTACCTACATAACCACACTTTTAAATTTTTTAGGACACTTAAAATAAAAAAGTTAATTGGGGCGACATTATAGGGGATCACCCCATGGGCGCCGCTACATATGGGCAGGGGGGGGCCCGGGCCCCCCCCTGGAAATTCATACCCAGAAATTCCGGTACTCCATAATTTGTATAATATTATAAATAACCATAATACCTAATAGGCCTGTTGCAAAACGAAAAATAAGACGTGTTACACACAAAAATTGCTTATAATTATCCTGTTATTACTACTCTATATCATGCTATAGCATAACATCGATATGTATTACCTAAAAAAGTCGCTACAGTGCAACCACATTTTTTTATGTTTAAGTTTTTGTTATTGTTATAACTTATTTTTAAAATATTACTCATGTTTGAATTTAATTTTTTTGTTATATTTTAATTTATCATAATTTGTATAGCGTATACATAAGACGGCTGTACTACTAGAGGAGATTCCTCGGCGATACAATTTTTTTATATTTATATATTTACCAAAAAACTGTGATCTATTTTTTGCAATATGTACCAATATAAATAAATAGGCAAATATACATATAAAGATGATATTTTATTTGACTTAAGTTTAATGTGAACTTCTACAGTACAACTTGATTATAAATAACATCTATCAAAATTGTAAAAAACTTTAAGGCCCCCCCCTAGACGAATTCCTTCCGGCGCCCATGGATCACCCTGTACACGTTAAACTCACTTATTTTTAAAATTGCCAGGAATAACAAAGTTATAACGATTTTTGTTATTGAAGAATAATTAGTTTATTTTAAATATTTTTTTTTCCAAGTTATAAATTTCATTTTAATGGGCTTGTTATTAACGATTTAATAATTTTGAATTTTTAATGAATCTATTAAAATAATAAAATAATTACACATTTTAGTATTATTTCACAAGAAGGGCACTTTATTTTGACGATTGTATGACATTTAACCTCTCTGTTCACAAACTTAAAGCTAACTTCAGCCTGTGACCTTAAATTTGATTTTTTTGTAAATTTTGAATTTTTATTAATAAAGGTTTTTGGTTTTTATTTTCAACATAAGACCACTTTATTATATTTCCTGTATATTTCTATTCTTTTTTTTTAAATTTTGAAGATATTTGTTTTAATTTAATTTAATATTGTCAAATTTCCTGATTTTCCTTTGGATTTGTTCTTATTTTCAATAATATCTTTAATTTTTAATATAAGTTTAGATTTTTATAAACATAGTTTTAGTATCTTTTTAAAAGAGTAAAATACTTTATCTGTATTTGCTAACGTTACTATGGTGCCACAAAACAAGCCAGCAGAGCTAATATACCATAGTAGGCAGGTAAGACGACAGCCTTGTAAACTCCAGACAGCAGTCGAAAAAATGACGTAATCAACTCGCCTACCTTGGTTGTTTGTTATGTTCTCGCGCTTGCTGGTTGGCTCGAGAGCAGTTTCAGGATCTCGAGGTGGGACCGGGTAGGTGTCAGATTATATCTTTAGTGCGTTACGTGGTGCTGATGATTTAATTCATGAAAAAACTTTTTATGTGTTTAAAACACAATGGGATGCGTTTACTGATGCGAATGCCATTATTATTAATGGAAATGAACAAAGAAGATTGAGATTTTATTTGATAAATCTTGATCATATAAAGGATGAAAGTTTTCTATTAACATACCGAAGTTGATGATTTTAAAAGGATTTTAAATTAAAATGGGTTGAGTTGGATTAAAAGCAACGTAAGAGCCTAATAAAAACTGTCTATTACAAGTAGAAGCCTACATTTAATCCATGTAATGATCGATCGAGCAGACCAATTATGGACAAGCAACGTAATGTGACTTAATAAACTTTCATCTAAATTAATCTGAGATGTCGGGTGAAGATATATCTAACCTAAAAATTGATATAACCAAGTGTATAACGTACATGTATGTTATTTTATTAATAATTATGCTTGATTATTTTAGTTATTTATTTTTCTCTAGCACATAAAGCATTTTTGTAGAACTTTTGATTCCGAGTAAATCCTTTTTCAAAACAATCCAATAGCATAAAATTCGGTTGAGATATAGATATAAAAAAAAAATAATCAAAGTTCACGTGTATTTTAAATTGGAAATTTTTATAGGCTTTGGTAGAGTACTTTGATATTAAGGGCTCAAATTTTTAGGGAATTTTTTTTGAACGTTTTCAACAAGATTTTGAGTTAGGAGCGAAAAAATAAAAATAGTGAAAAAAAGCACCCTAATATATATATATATATATATATATATATTAGTGTGTTTCAAAAAAAACTTATTTTTTTCTCTAATGGTGTTGAAAAATTAATAATACATTAAAAACAAAAATTTTGGCGCATATTTGAACCCTTAATATTAATATTAAGGTTTGTCTCAATTCATTTGTTGTTTTTCCATTTCAATAACACGGAAATTTTTATTTTTTAAATTTTGAATTCTTATAACTTTGGAATGGTTTGTTTTCGCAACACCCAAGCGACTAGTAGGATTAGCATTATTACATGTACTAGGGATATACAAATAAATATTACCTATAGGTAATCTTTTTAAATATAAAATTCAAATTATAAAATGATGTCTTTTTTTCATTTTTGCAAAACGATCCAAAACCTTATTAATATTTATAGGTATACCTATACTTAAAAAAGAATATATGTTTATAATTATGAGATATTTAGTTTTGGTACCTTATAATTCTTTTCCCCAATATACAAAAGCAAATAAACAATAAGGAATTTTGCAAAATTATTGTCCTTATATGTTACCCCCCCAAAAGGGAAAAAATTATCGACACCCTTGGTGTCCAAACATGCAATTTAATAAAGAAAAGCATTTAGATGTTTAGATGCAAAATAAAACTTGACGATGTTTTTTAAATAATAAAAAAAACATTAAATTGATGACGCCATATGTAGAAGTATTTTATTATAATTTGTCAGAAAAGTGCCACACCTTGTTCATGTTTTTACCAGAATAGTTTGCATTAGAATATTTTTTATGACATGCTTTAAATATGGCGTTATGTTTAAAATAGTACCACTCTGCCATTAAATATTTCACACAAAAGTTGTCCCACTTTAGTAAACAAAATAAAACCCTTTTAGGATTAATTATATGGATTCTTAATGTAATAATAATAATACTTTATTTACGACAAAGTCAGTTATAATTTGGTCTGCTGCAAGTATATTTTATGCAAATAAGTTTTAATAAATATAGGTATTTATAAATTTAAAGTTGCCTTGAAAAACTGTTTAAAAAAAATGGTTTTAATATTGTTTTAAAGTTTAGTTTTAAAGACCCTTTTAGGATTGGTCCTTTTTGGCTAGAAGCTGATTTATGATGGTCCTGAAGATAATTTGGTTTTATTCAAAGTTTTATGGTATAGTCTTAAAGGGACCTTGGAGATCGCAATAAGAGCAATAGTGTTACTTGGGATAAAACCAGATATTCCAGAAAGACTTCAAATATTTTGATTGAAAAAAAAATAATTTTAATCTGATCAACCTCCAAGATACTCACTTAACTAACCACCTTGGATTTTTCTTTCGGCAAAATTCAAAAAGGTTAAGGTTTCATGATTCAAGAAAAACTAAATATTTATGTATGTAGTTACTTATATTATAACTTAAACTATAACTTGTTGGTAAATTTTAAGAAATTAAATTGTGAAAATATTTTTTATTAATATATGGCCTTACTAGGTATACCTAGTAAGGCCATATACTTTCGTTCCAATTAATATCCTCGACTGAACGCTTGATTAAAAATTTACCAATATATTAGTAATGGTTACAAAAATTAAAATTAAGTAGGCGTTAAAAAGATTCAAGTTTTAATTTCAATAAAGGAATATAAATAATATTTATACACAATATTTTTTAGTTAATTTTGAAAAAAAATGTGAAAAAGTCAATAAATTTTATTATATTAATAATTTATGATTTTCATAACTTATTTATGTTTTAAATTGTGTTTTTATTAATTTTTTCTATCGATTTAGCTTACCATTAACATTGAGACCACCAAAATGGGCAGCGGTTTGTTGCAGACAGGGCGTTTTGTTTCCATTGTGCTCTGAAAGAAATAGAAAGTGGTCAGATACAGTATAGCGTGGTATAGTAGACACAAAAGGAACTGGGTCATTTCTTACCCTTGAAAAAATTCACTTTTTTACTCCGTTACCTAACTCCCCCCATTTACTTTTCTTTTATTTCGATAAACTCGCATGATAATGCATATGCAGCATCCATATGCCACTGGATGATTCCACTTTCGATTTTATAGAATGAGATCGTTAAATTAACGGCGTTTTTAGGAAATTTGGTTGCGTCATATTAAGTTATTTGATGGTTGGATGTTGAACTTTAAGTTTTATAATACTAGTTTAACATTTAGTTTTATTAATAAGCTATAAGATGCTTCAACTTTATATTTTAAATATCAACTGCAATTTTTGTTGTACAATTAATGATATAAGAAAAACTATCTTTATTAGTAAATAACCGTTTAAATATGCACTTTTTTCAAGAAAATATTAAATAGGCAACCATGCACTTCTTGACTCTGTTCAAGCACCAGAAGTTAAGCTGAACCCATCATATAAATTTCTAATTCAGAATTTCCTTGCTATCATAGATCAATATAAATCATTAGGATATACAAACTAATTAATACCCGTTTTGTGTTTCTTAATGATAATACACTTAGTCATTGCATCAACTCAAAACTTAGCAGAAACATATAACAATAATAATAATAATAACAATAATAATAAGATTGCAAAATTGCGAAGTTCAGATAGATAAAAAATTATCCCCTGCTCTACTACTACACTGCTCTACCAATGATTTACGTTTCTTTACCATGACGACAAAATGAAAAAGTCATTAGTCAGGAGAGGAAACTCATCTTAAAAAAAAGTTGAAAATTGTTTTAAGAATGTAAGAATTGAAGAACCTCCATATGAGAAGACAGGCTCATTGCTTTAGCTTTACTCAGCTTTAAAAGTGACATTTTAAGACAACAAATTTATGAAGCTATTATAACTTCATTACTACAAAGTGTGGGCGTAAACTAATCAGCCTTTAAGATTATGTGACAACTGACACTTTCGTTATAGTTGGATTGTTTGGAAAAGTTCTGTCCTCTTGTCGCTCACCTAAAAACATTGATCAGGGTTAGGGTTGGGAAAATTTCACTTTTTGCTTGTACTTGAAATTTCACTTGAAATTTTCAGGACATTAATGAAATTTATTAAAATTTCCTAAATTTCATGAAATTTATGAAATTTATTGAAACTTTCAATAAATTTCAATCACTTTAAGTGTAATATATTAATATTGAAATAAGCCCTCTCGGGGACCATTGCAAATTGCCTCTTTTACCTCCTACCCCTCTGTGGGCCCCTGCACCAATAATATAAATAGTAAATACATATGTTTACCACAAATTTCTTGAGATTTCCTTTTAAATTATTTTTAAAATTTCTAAAACTAAAAGAGATATAGCACTTTTTGGTAAGCTAATGAGATTGTGCCACTTTCATTGTTTTATATTTATGTATATTTATTATTTTTAAATATTTTACTGAAATTTTACGAAAATTGAAGAAACTTCATCAAAATTTTATAAGCCAAAGGCATTTTTATCCGTTTTCCGATGCAATTATAACAAAAGTAAAAGTTTAAATTAATCATGACTGAAATGTTAAAGTCTGATTTAATTTACAAATTAAATTGGTAACTGAATTAAATTATTTAAATTAATTTATGCATATAAGTAACAATAATTACTTATAGTGTATTCAAATCCAAGCCGAACTAAAGAAAAACGCTCAGACACTTGATAACGCGTTCTTATTGGTCGATTCGGAATCTGTTGTAAATTATTATTAAAGGTCCCAGGGGAGGCCGCAAGTGAAATTTATGCGAAATTTTCAGTAAATTGTGAAACTTTCAATGAAATTTCTGAAACTTTCACAGGCAATGTTGAAATTTTCGGATTGAAAATTTCATTTGAAATTTTTAAAAATTTCACTTTACCAACTAAATGAAATATTTCAAGTTTGAAACTTTCAAAGTTGAAATTTTCATTTGAACTGTCCCAACTTAATCAGGGTACTGTATTTGACTTTGGGGCAAATTTTTTTCCGTAAGCCTGTTAAATAAAAGTTTGGCACCATTTTAAAAGTTTAAAGCGAAAAAATTTAAAATAAGCCTATGCACATGTGCTGGACTCAAATTGCCTTTGAAAATATGTATTGGATATTGCTGGTTTTTCAAGAGAGAAAAAAATACAAGTAAAAAGTAAAAAAATTCCATGTCATTTATACAGCAAGGTTTAAAATTAATATTAAGAATTTTTGGGTTAATTTTTTTTTGTAGAACATATGTAAAATAGTCCAATATCTTCCTATTTAGTTCCAGTAATATTACTATTAAAGGGTGTATCAATAAGAGCGCAAGATTTGAATTTCGCCTCAGTTTGGCAACCATGATGTCACATGATTAATGACATGACAGATTGATAGGAGACAGATGGAAGTTAGTAAATATAGAGCATTACACGATAGAACAACCCGTCCTGATTGTTAAACACTATTATCAAAATGATGAAAGTTTGATTGCCACGATTCGTAAAGGGCGTCCAATATTTTTTCGAAATAATGTTCCTAATTCATCTACTGTGAAAAGAATAATCGAAAAATTTGAAAGCACTGCTTCGGTTAGTGATGTGAAACACACGACACGAGCTCGTTCAGAACAAAATGTCGCAGCAGTTCGCAAGAATGTGGCCGAGAGTCCAGAGACGTCGATTTGCCATCGTGCACAAGAATTGGACATTACAAAAGCCACTCTTCGGCGAATTCTTACTTAAGATTTGCATCTTCATGCCTACAAAGTCCAATTGACTCAACAACTCCAGCCAAAAGACCATGAACAGCGAAGAGAGTTCACCAATTGGATCCTTGAGCAGCAAGAAGTGAATGCCGAATTTGCGGACAAAATCATTTTCAGTGATGAGGCCCATTTTCACCACTATTTAACACCCTTGGACTTTTGGCTGTGGGGTTATTTGAAGTCACAAGTTTATGCCAACAAGCCCGCCACCATCGAAGCCTTAAAAGCAGAAATTAGACGCTCTATCAACGAAATACCGCCACATGTATTCAATAATGTTATTGCAAATTTTGCCAAAAGAATACGCTTGTGCCAGTTAAGCCGTGGTGGCCATTTACCAGATGTGTTATTTTATACATAATTTCCAAATGTGTACTTTATAAATCAATAAATATTTCAATGCTTTAATACTTAAAACCATGTTTGACTAAACTTTGAAATCTTGCGTTCTTATTGATACACCCTTTATAATAGAAAAGGTATTTCTACATTAATATTGTATTATTTTAAAACAGGTGGTTATCTCAATTTAAATTATACAGAATTATATCGAGAAAAGTTAGACATAAAAAATGTTTTCTGAGCCAAATAAATTAAATTCATTACCAATAAAACTTTTGATTACATTAGGTGATTCCAAATTAAGGTAAAAAATTAAATGGTGATTCTCTACAAGATTTGGTAATGAAAAGTTCATATGGATGTTAGGGCTAAGTATCTTAAATTTAAAGATGCAGGGTGTTAAAAATTTTAAATTCTCATTAGTTATACCTAAAATATTAGGTATTAATCACAAATTTGGCTATAACTAGGTTTTTAAAAATGCTCTACTAACTTTGCATTTAATGCACAGGATGCTAGGCCAATAAGGTTTATAAACTGTTTTCCTAGATGCCCCTTCATAATTGCTACTTTTTATCTCCTGCAACTTTTTGATACGATTCGTCGTTCTTGAGTTATTGTGCCTTTATTTATATTTATATACATAAAATTATTTACGAAGGCTCAATAATTGCTTTTTAAAAAAGATTTGTTTCTTCAACGTCACTTTTATTAGTTGTTAATTGTTAATGATGTAAAATTTAAATTTTCTTTGCATTTTCAACACCCTCTATCTCAAAATCTACACTTTTATAAAAATCAGATTTGTTAGCACGAGTTTGCAGTTTGTTAATTTTAATTTGTAAAATTTTAACATATTTTTTTTGTAAAAAATCAGGGTTTGTAATTATTTAACAAAGGAAAATATTTTACCTAAAGTTTAGTAAAGTTAATATGCAATTTTGTAAGCATTTTGTTAATTTTAAAGGTGACAGATTATTTTGTTAATGTTTAACAAATTATTTCGTTGAAAAAGTATCTAATTCGTAAAGTGTTCGTAACAACTGTTCAGAGTGTTTATAATATATTACCAGAAATATGTTTTATTGTTATTCGGAGCCCTTATACCTATTTAATGAGTGTGCGAACTATCCCAACAAATATGCCATCACTGGTTAAAGTTTCTAAATACATCAGTAAGTGTAGTAATATTAATTATATTTTACCAAATTTCTTTATAATTTGATTTAATTTTTTACCTTAATTTAAAATCACCCTGTATATGGTGGTCACAAAAACATTTGGTTTAAGCTAACAAACATATTATCGGTCACCTTGCAATTATAATGTTAAATTGTAAAAACCCAATACCGGTTGCTTGCGTCGATATATCTTTAATATTGCCATACTTTCCCTTTCAAGACAATTACTTAAAATTTAATACTGCCGGTCAATGAATATTAAAATGTTATACAATGAAAGTAAATAGCACGCAGTATTATGTATTTTAAATGAATAAGATATTACACCTGAGATGTTTTAATTCGACGATTAATAATTAAAATTAAGATTCTTTCATCACCATTGAGAAACCTTAATGTACCGTTAAATGAAGAGCTTTAGAAAAAGTTTGAAATTGTCTAAGCGTCAAATAGGCTTTTTCTTTGATAATTGGTTACTTTTGTTCAAAATCTGTATTAGTTTTATGTGAATTAGTATCACAACAATAACATATGTTTTTACCTGATAAATATGTATATTATTTAGTCTTGTCTTGTCCCTGAATTTTATTGAGTTTTCATCACAGTGATCATTGGTATATTATGTATCAAGTTTGATAAACGCTATTTTGGTTACGCGAGCGAGTGTCTAGAAAAGTCCGTGACTAAAGCACCATAGCTTGTCAAAAGGTCACTTGGTGTCATGGAAACATGTACGGTAATGGACGTTTTAAAGGTGGGAGTAGAAAAAAATGACTAAAATCCCGTGGGTCATACTTGTCAATTTTATTTTGCAAATTAATACAACAATATTACAATTACAATGTTACTAAATAATCCTATTCCTTACACTCAGAGAAATCCCTTCCTAGATTTTTTTAAGACTACATGCATTAAATGTAGCATAGAGCAAAATCTCAATTTAAGCTATAATATTTTTGTTTTTAGTTTTTTGGTCTTAATTTGACTATATATTATTCTTAGTTTAAGAATAAATAGATTAAAACATGCTATTAAAAAAATAAGAATAAGTTTAACCTGAGGTCTTACATTAAAAACATCTTATTCTGAAATTAATAAACAGCATTTTTTAATTAAGAAAGCATTTTTTAATTAAGAACTTTAAGAATTGTGAGAATTATTGTTCTTACTTTTAAGAACGTCTTATTTTAAAACTATCATTCAACAAGTTTTAAATTAAAAATGCATTCTTTATTAAAGAACTTAAGAATTGTGAGAATGCTTGTTTTAAGAACGCTTAGTTTTAAAACTATTTACTTCAAGAATTGCGAGAATGTTTATTCTTATTTTAAAAAGGTATCATTTTAAAACTATCATACAACAAGTTTTGAACTAAGAATGCATTCTTCAATAGAGAACTTCAATTGTTCAAGAATGTTCATTCTTAATTTGTGTATGGACAGTTTTAAAACAAGTATGGCATTCTTTATTTAAAAATAGATTTTCTAGTTTTTAAGAATTTTATTTTCAAATAAAGAGTAAAAATCTTTTTAATGAAACAGCCGGTAATAACTCACTAAAGCTTTTAGTGTTTATTGAGCGCATTTTCAGTTTCGAGACCCTAATTATGTTCACTTCTAATAGGGAATTGTTAACACGTGAAGTGAATAGTGAAATACCTACTGCCAATATGAAAAATTTAACAAACTCCACTTTGATAGTTAAAGAACTGTCATTTTTTGATAATCATAAGTAGAAAAGTACGACAAAAACAGGTGTGAAAGAAAAGCTTCGTTATAAAATCTCTAAGGTATTTTAAGTGTAATCCGTTTTATTTACATTTGTTACCAAATAATTGTATAGTGTTTAAATGTAGAAAACTTAGCTAAGTTTTTATAACAAATGTGAACCATTTTTTATTTGTTGTTTTATGTCTAACGGGCATATATCAAATTTTTGTTTAATACATTTACAATTTTACATATACTATACCCATGGGTATGGAAAATTTACGAAATGCATCACAAATTAAGATAGTCTTAATTTGCGTTCTGTATATAGTCATACATATATTACTACTTTAAATAGGATTGTTAGGATGCTCATTAGTTATTAAGTTTTTACGTAAGTGTATGTACGTTTATTTTAAAGTTGATTTGTTTTATTGTGAATATGTATAAAGCATTAAATAAACTTACTTTTAAATGAAAGCATAGTTTTAAGCATTGTTACCAACCTATATATACACCTTCAATAAAAAAATATAAGAAATACAAAATTTAGGAAGATTAGGTCCAGGATTATGCAGAAGTTAATTTAGTTTAGTTTAATTTTTAGAAATATGAAGTTCTTTTGCAAATGAGTTTATGCATGTTAATACAAAATACATAACCGCAATCACCAAAGATCGTATTATCAACTTGTATACCTAAATGAGATCTTAAAAATGTTCCTTTTAAAATTAGGAAATCAAAAGCTTAAAATAAAGAAGGTTTTATTTTTAAATTAAGAAGTAATTATGCTTACCTACATAAAAAAAATCTTCATTCTTAATTTGAAAATTTTAAAATGTAAAATTAAGAACGATTTTTTCTAAATTAAGCAGTATTAAATCTTGAAATACCTATAGGACTGTTCTTAAATCAAGTAGATCTCCATTCTTAAATTAAAGTCTAAAATTAAGAACCTTTTATTTTTAAATTAAATATTTATTCTGAAAATTTAAGAATGTGTTTATTAAATGAAGAAAATCCCCATTCTTAAAATAAACATTTTTTTTTCTTAAGTTAATAATTACTAATTTAAGATTGTGTTCTGTAAATTAAGAACGTATGAAATGTTAACCTTTAAGCAGTTAATTCTAAAAGTTAGCATTTGTAATTCGTCTTTTAAGAATGATGTGTTAATTTAAACTTTTCATGCTTTACTTCAGAATAAGAAAAAACATTCTTCAATTATTCTCAAAATAAGAATAATTTGTGCTTGGACCATTTTGAAGAACGACTTGTTTTAATTTAAATGTCTTTTTTCTTGTTTTTTAGCATTTATTTTTTTGAGTGTATGCAGAATTAAAATCAAAGTGAGTCTGTATTATGCAGCTCTATTTTTCATTTCTGCAAGTCCGCATAAACATTCTGTGAATTCATGAATGCATGAAAACGAAAGTCTTATTCAATGGCAAAAACCATTGTGTGTATTTGATATATTCATACGGACCCATTGTTTCGAGAACGAGAAGGTTGTGGTCAGAATTTCCACAAGCTCATAACTATAAGAATATGAATTTACGAAAAAACGAAACATTTGCTTTTTTGTTTTTATTTTTAAGGTTTCCATAAAACATTTAACACTGACAATTTTAATTACTTATATTTCATGGTTTTGTATGGGGCGCCATGTGTTCCATAATTATTTCGTACGATATATAAAATATTTTGCAGGAAAAACTATATATAAGTAAAATTTACTACAATTTTGCATATACAGGGTGTCCGGGAAAAGCAGGTCAATCCGTTAACCATATATTCCTTGAGTTAAAACAATAAGACTTTCATAATACCATTTTTCAATTTAGAGCTTCATGTTCGATATACAGGGCGACAAAGTTTGAAATTTAAAACTGATTTTTTTTTAATAATTCGAGTAATTGGTAAGATATTAAGTTTAAATTCGGTACACTACTTCAACATAAATAGTTACATTTTTGGAGACCAACAAAACAAAAAAACAATTGTCAAATAAACAAAATAGGGGGGTCCAGTACTCACTGACTCCCCCTATTTTTTAGTACGTGCGCCAATGACTTCCAAACGGTATTTTTTTAGGTAATCATTTATTGTTGAACATTTTTTGTATCTTATAAAATTTTGATAAAATGATTTGTTTTAGAGATAATTTGTAAAGTATGGGTCAGTCCATATCAAATTTTCAAAAATTAATTTTTTTTTTTGAAAAAATTTAGGTCATGTGATATATCATAAAAAAGGTCTCTAATAGGCCTTTAAAATAAGCCACCACTCACCTTTCTACTTTTAATAGTTTACGAGATATCGCTATTTTTGTAAGTACTTGCAAAATGAGTGAAAGTGATAAAATTTTATGCGCGTATTGCAAAACGGGCGCGGTCAAAAAAATTGCAAGTTGCACTAGCTGTAAAGCAATTTTTCATAAGAGTTGTGGAGAACGCTATGTTTGTTGTTCCAAGAAAAATACTAAAGGTCACAATGAAGATCAAGAAACTGAAGAAGAATCCAATGAAGCTATGTTATTAAAAAGAAAAAATAGTGAATTGGAAATTAATAATAAAGTCTTACAAGAAAAATTAATATTGGTGGAAAATTTGAATTCCCAACTTCAAGAACAGATTATTAAACTTACCATGGCTTCCAACAAGGAAAATTTTATTACAAGAAGTGAATTTGAGAAAGAGATAAACAATATAAAGGATCTTTTAAAAAAAGATAAAAATACAGCCAAAGCTGAAAGTAAAACCTTTTCAAAGGCAGTAAGAGATAATCTTCCAGCACCGGGGCCCGGAACAAGTGACGAAAATAAATTACTACAATTAGAAGACAAACAACGCAAAATAATGTCTGAAGTTATTAGTCTTACTGCTTCAAATGAGTCAAACAATCAGGATTGGCAAATTAAAAAAAGTAAAACTAAAAAAGAAGATAAGAAGATGACAAATACGAGAGAAAAGACCAAGCCAATAATTGGAAGTTCCAATAGTAATTTATTAACAAGTGTACCAAGGTTATCTCATGTGTATGTTGGAAGGTTACAACCAGATACAAAAGAGGAGCAAGTAATTGAATTTCTCAAACAATCATGTCCGGCTGTTTCTAAAGTAAGCTGCGAAAAACTAAAATCGAAACTACCCGATGTGTATTCATCATTTAAGATTTCTATACAATCTAATGTTGTGGATAAGATCAAGGACCCTTCAATCTGGCCAGCTGGAGTATTAATTAACACTTTTTTCATGAAACGTCGAGAGGAACCCCCAAAATCCTAGATAATATTGTGGAAGAAGATTTAAGTAACTTTAATATAATACATCAAAACATTCAATCTTTAAAAAATAAAACATGTGAATTAGAAATTTACTTGGAGTCTCTTAAAAAGGAAATTCAGATAATTTGTATAACAGAACATTGGTGTAAAAAGGAAGAGTTAAATAGTGTTTTATTAAATGGTTATAAAGTTATGTCAAGTTTTTGTAGAAAGACCAAGGGTGGTGGGGGATCTTGTATTTTTATTAAGGAAAATTGTTTGAATTTGTTTGAAGAGGCTCCAGAAGTATTTCTCGGTAGTGTGGAGGAAGGTCATCTGGAATTTTCAGCCATTGTAAGTTATGCTCTAAGAATTTTTATCATTTGCGTTTATAGACCTCCTACAGGAGATATTGCTGGTTTTCTAAGTAAACTTAATTATGTAAGCGAGTTATTTTATTTAAAATTTGTCAATTATAAACTGATAGTTTGTGGAGACTTTAATATAGATATAAGTAAAGAAACCTTACAAACAAAAGTGTTTCTTGATTCAATGCTTACAAATAATTTAAATCCTCTTATACATTCATACACGAGAGTAACCCAAAAAAGTAAAACATTAATAGATAATATATTTATTAATTTCTTAGACGTTATTTTTAATACAGAAGTTCATTTTAATGCAATCTCTGATCATTCAAGTCAATCTTTTGAGTTTGTTTTTTCAAAACCTAATATAAAAAGTCATATATCTTCTAGAAAAAAAGTTTTAAGTTTTAAAAAAATAATAAACATGCAGGAAAAATTATCATCGGAATTATGGGAAAATGTGTTTGATGAAACTGATCCAAATAATGCTTATAATAATTTTTTAGAAAAAATTACCAATTTATCAAGAGATGCATATGCTTATGTAACAACTAATCGTAAAGAAAATAAATGGATAACTAAAGGAATTAAAATTTCCAGTTTAAATAAACGAATACTTTATCAAAAGTTTATAGACGGGGAAATAGATAAAAATTATTATAGGCACTATTCTAATATACTTAAAAAGGTTATTTTGGCAGCTAAGAAACTTTTCAATAATAATTACATCCTTAATTCAAATAATAAAACTAAGGCGGCATGGTGTTTAATAAATAAACATTCCGGCAAACACAAAAACAAAGAAAATAATGTTGTAAAAAACCTTTGCAATGATACACTAACAACTGATAAATTAAACGAAATTAATTTATTTTTTAAAGAAGTATGCACTAATTCAATAAACGATCAATCCGATTCTAACATTAAATTTATTAGGTCGATAAACAAAAACTTATATTTATACCCAACATTTCCAAACGAAATTATCGAAACGATAAATTCTCTAAAAAATACTAATTCTACAGGAGAAGATGAAATACATTTAAAAATTTTAAAACAATATTCTGTTGAAATATCATATCCACTAACCCATATAATTTATTTAATTCTTGAAAAAGGGGTATTCCCCCTAAATTTAAAACATGCTGAAATTAAAGCAATTTATAAGAAAGGCAACAAAAATGATATGACAAATTACAGACCTGTTGCTCTACTAAGCAATATTAGCAAAATAGTTGAAAAAATAATTTACAACAGACTTTCAAAATTTTTAGAAAATAACTTTGTCATAAGCGACTCCCAAAATGGCTTTCGCAAGAACAGGTCTACGATTCGGGCCATTTATCAAGCACTTTGCAATATAGTAGAATCACAAAACTTAAATAAAAATACCTTTTTGTTGTGCCTTGACCTTTCAAAGGCGTTTGATAGTGTCGATCATCAACTATTAATAAAGAAGCTTGAATTGTACGGCATTAGGGGGGTGTCTTTAAATTTGTTTAGGTCATATTTAGAAAATCGTACCCAGTCAGTAGTAGAAAGAAATGAACAAGGAATAAAAATACGATCTAAAAAAATTCTCATTGAAAAAGGGGTACCTCAAGGCTCCATACTAGGGCCCCTTCTATATATAATTTACACAAATGAACTTCCGCTTATTGTAAAGGAAAATATAATTCAGTACGCAGACGATACTTCTTTAATATTTAGCTTAGACGCATTTGAAAATGATTCATATATTCGCTCTTCAATAGAGGTGCTTGATAAATGGTTCAAATCTAACAATCTTCTTTTAAATACAAGCAAAACTCAAATAATAAAATTTCAAAGAAATTTAAATAAGACTAATAATTCAAATATATCTTTAAAGCTCTCAGAAAGTGTGTCATTTTTGGGTTTGGAAATAGACAACAGACTGGATTGGAAAAGTCATTTAGATAAAATGTCAAAAAATATGTCTAAGTATTGTTATTTATTAAAAATTATATCTCAAACAGTCAATATAACTTCATCATTAGCGGCCTTTAATGCCTACATTCAATCTAACATCAGGTATGGTATAATATTTTGGATTTATTCTCCAGATACAGAAAGAATATTTATCTTACAAAAAAAATGTATAAGAAGAATTTTTTCATTAAAAGAAACCGATTCTTGTAGACCCTATTTTATAAATCATAGGCTTTTAACAATTTATAGCCTTTTTATATATGAAGCAGTTTTGTTTGTAAAAAAGAACCTGGATCTGTTTGAAGCATTTAGGAATCTCCATTGTTATGAAACTAGATTTAAATCAAATTATTCAAATAATAAATTAAATTTCACTTATTTACAAAATAATGTTCCAAATTCTATACTTAAGGTATTTAACAAGCTGCCTGAAAAATTTAGGAATCTTTCGACTAAGAAAGTAAAAAATAAATTAAAAATTTTTTTAATGGAAAAATCCTTTTACTCAATGGAGGAATTCTTTAATGATGATCTTCCGCAACATTTATCGTAAAGTTTTTTATGCTATATATTATATTTTTAAATGTGTTTATGTATTTGTATATTTATTTTAAAGGTGTTCATATGATTATATATTTTTAAATGTGCTTATGTACTTATAATTGTGTATCTTATATTTATATTTTTAAATGTTTCCTAATTGGATCAGTATTTTTATCACATTTTTATATTTGACGTGTTTTACACCATTTGGTATTTTTTTTTAAACGAATAAAGGTTATTATTATTATTATTATTATTATTATTATTGCAAGACCCAAATTTATCGGAATTTTTTGATTTTCAAAAATCAATAAAACAAAAGCCACCTATCGAAAAAAAATCATATATGGGATTTTTGAGTTTTTTAGTGAGGTAAACAAATTTACCAAAAATTATCAAAATCGGAGATGGTGGGGGAAGAACCTTTGGTTGATTTGATATGGACTGACCCATACTTTACAAATTATCTCTAAAACAAATCATTTTATCAAAATTTTATAAGAGACAAATTTTTTTTAACAATAAATGATTAACTAAAAAAATACCGTTTGGAAGTCATTGGCGCTCGTACTAAAAAATAGGGGGAGTCAGTGAGTACTGGACCCCCCTATTTTGATTATTTGACAATTGTTTTTTGTTTTGTTGGTCTCCAAAAATGTAACTATTTATGTTGAAGTAGTGTACCGAATTTAAACTAATTATCTTATCAATTACTCGAATTATTAAAAAAAATCAGTTTTAAATTTCAAACTTTGTCGCCCTGTATATCGAACATGAAGCTCTAAATTGAAAAATGGTATTATGAAATTCTTATTGTTTTAACTCAAGGAATATATGGTTAACGGATTGACCTCCTTTTCCCGGACACCCTGTATATTAAAAATAAAAGTTTTATATATATTGAATTTGGCACCATGCGAAGTTCGATATAAAACTTTTTTCTTTTAAAAAGTCCCCGAGCGATGGCGCTACCTTTCTTTATGATTTGTATAGTGTGTTGCCATATACTTTATGAACGTAATCGAATTTAAAAAAACATCTTTCGCTCACGTTTTTTTTAGATAACGGCGGTTGGTTTGTAATTTATACAGCTGTAATTATACTGTTCATCGATATTATTAATAAAAGGTAGGTATTTTAAGTAATTATTCTTTTAGAGAAAGATGTTTTTTTAAATTCGAATACGTTCATAAAGTATATGCAACACACTATGCAAATCATAAAGAAAGGTAGCGCCATCGCTCGGGGACTTTTTAAACGAAAAAAGTTTTATATCGAACTTTTTAAACGAAAAAAGTTTTATATCGAACTTCGCATGGTGCCAAATTCAATATATATAAAACTTTTATTTTTAATATATATGCAAAATTGTAGTAAATTTTACTTATATATAGTTTTTTCTGCAAAATATTTTATATATCGTACGAAATAATTATGGAACACATGGCGCCCCATAGTTTTGTACCAAAAACATAGATATAATTTTTAAAATATGAAATCAAATAACAGTATAGTTTTAATAAACCAATTATGAAATAATAATTTGACATATACTTTGTTGTAATGTGTAAAATAATTATACCTAAAAGGTGTATTTAAAGCTAAGTATAAGTTGCAATAATAGCGTTGCTTTCTCAAAAAGAAAATTAATTGGCGTGATTTTTATAAGAAATGATAATAAGCAGGTATATACGGGTATACCTTTAACTTATTAATTAAGATGATGGAAGTTTTAAAGTGGAGTGTAATTAGTAGGTATTAATTAGATAATAAATTATTAGGATATTTCACGTTGCAACAGTAAAATTGTTTTAATAAACATTTCAATTTAATAGAAATATAACTACACTAAAATTTATCATAAGCTTTTTTATTGATAGGGGCAGGGGGGTTTTGCGTTAAAAAAGTCAAATTAATTTTATTTAACGAATTTAAACTGAATAAGTATTTAATATTGTTAATATAGGTAATGATTTCTAGTAGGAATAAAAGTTCGTCAACTTCGTTTCCATTTACTAAACTATATTTCTGAAATAACTGTTCACAATTATAAGCTTCTTGATTGGTCAAAATAACTCCTCTCTTAGTTTTTAAATGGTCCAAAGTAGTAAATAATTAATTGGTAATTTATTACCAATACAAATTTTGGTATTTGGGTATT